GAGAGAGAGAGAGAGAGAGAGAGAGAGAGAGAGAGAGAGAGAGAGAGAGAGAGAGAGAGTGTGTGTGTGAGAGATAGGGTTTCTCTGTGTAGCCCTGGCTGTCTTGGAACTCACTCTGTAGATCTGTCTGGCCTTGAACTCAAGAGATCCACCTGCCTCTGTCTCCCGAGTGCTGGAATTAAAGGTGCATGCCATTACTGCCTTTTAATTTTTACTACTACTTCCTATTTTTATTAGATCGCCCATAACTTTTACTATAACGTAATTCTTCATGCCTTGACTTGTCCTGAAAAAATTAAGTAGGGCTCGTACATATACGTATATATACTTACATATGTATGTTTTGTGTGTGTGTGTGTGTGTGTGTGTGTGTGTGTGTGTGTGTGTGTATATATATATTATAAAATATGTAGTATGTGTATTTCATATATATTGGTTTTGAGTTGATTAATGGTCATATTTTAAGGAACTGGCTTTAAGATAAGTGCTTAAGACAAATGTGTGGGAAAAGAGATTTTTAGTGTACACTGCTTCAATCCTTTTTTTTTGTCACTTGACTTTCTTTTGACTTAAAAATATATCTGTTATCCTTGAGAATGTATTTTGTAAGGTTAGATAAAACACATTGTTTACCTCTCCCAGCTCACTTGCCTCAGCTCTGAGAATTTATTTTCCAATTTGCTTATTCATTTGTACCTACATTTTATTTCACATATATCTTCAGTTCTAGGATACTTATAACCACTCATTTACGATTCTGGAATGTACGTGTGTGTGCCCCAACTTTTTCTTTAAAAAAAATTTTGGGATTGTATTGGTAGTCCATTTTGCATTAATTCCCCCTTCCTTGACTTATTTCTGTGGTCATATAATAATTGCATATGTGGTATACCTAACTTATTTTAACTGGTTGCTTAAAACTATTTGCATTATAAACAGTGTTGTGAAGAACACTTTTTATCTTTGCTCATATCCAGTTCCCCCCCTACAGATGATATTCCACAGCTAAAGTATGCATTTTTATAGTATAGCTTCTTAATAAAGCAAAGCATGTGGAGTTGGGAATGTAGCTCATTTAGTAGAGTGCTTGGCTATCATGCATGATCCCATATGTTCCCTGGATCCAGGATCACATAAACAAGGCATGGTGGCACATGCTTGTAATCTCAGCACTCAGGAGATGGAGTTAGTATGATCAGAAGTTCAGTCATCCTTGGCTACATAGTGAATTTGAGGCTACACTGAAATATGTGAATTTCTGTCTCAAAATAATTAAACATGAAAAGCAAAGCAAGTTATTTGTTATTTTTTGGCTATTAATCATCACTAAAATATAACTTTTCCTTCTTTATTAGTGAACACTTGTCCTGCTCTTTCACCTTTTTCTTGCATGGAGACAGCAATGTTTGTACCAGTGTGGAAATTAACCAACATCAACCTGTATACCTTCTCAGTGAAGAGCATGTCACCCTTGCTCAACAGTCTAATAGCCCATTTCAAGGTAGATTATTCTCATTTCATTTAGTATTGGAAATTAAAACTTTCATGTTAACAATTATAGTAATAAGACAACAAAATAAATATCATTAGTGACATATTTTTATGAATGGGAATATTAACATTTCTGTGTTTTTTGTTAATAGCACATTATGTTATATATGTGTTAATCATTTTAAGGCTGTGTTGTGTAAGTCAGGTTTAGCATAGCTACCCAGGGGATCTTTTGATGTCATTTATACCATGAATTACTGAAATCAAGTGAAGTTGTTTTATAAGGTTACTACTGATTGCTTTTTAAGTCCTGGAAGTATCTACTATTTTAATGTAGTGTGTGGGTTTTTTTAAATTTATGTGGCAGACTTCATAAGTATTTAGACTTAGGTATCCATATTCTTCAAGTTGCTTTTTTTTTTTTTTTTTTTTTATGAGAGTCAGAATAAATTGAATGATATGCACATATTTCCAGTTCATTTTGAAATGCTGTTATCTTTTGATTTTGGGGTAGGCATATTTTAAAGAATTTTCAAAATCTTTGCATTGTAGTTTATATTAACAATAATAAAGTATAATACATTGGCTTTCTTGGTGTGATCATAATGAATTTCCTTTTGAATCAGATTTACATCATTGCAACAGTGTTGATTATGATTTTTATTTACTATGTAACAGTCTTTACTTATGTGGTATCTGCTTTGGTTTCTAGTTATCTTAAGTCCATTTGGACTAAATGGCACTCTCACAGGACAGGCATTCAAGATGTCTGATTCAGCTACAAAAAAATTAATTGGTGAATGGAAACAGTTCTATCCTATTTCATGTGGTTTGAAGGAGATGTCTGACGAAAAGCAGGAAGATATGGATTGGGAAGATGATTCTTTGGCTGCAGTGGAAGTTCTTGTTGGTATGGAGTCTGATATTAGTCTGAAGGGAAAACATAAATCATATGTGTTTTAGTTAGGTTTTGTTTAATAACAAACACCTCCATTGGCATTCAACAACATTTACTTTTTGCATATTACGTAAGGGCTACAGCTTGGCTGTGATGGCTCTGTGTGTCTTCTCATTGTCCAATCTAGGTTAAAGGAGTACCCAGTATCTGGGACACAGTGTTCTTAGGAAAACAAAGGAATAATAGGGATCAAGCCTAACCATGTAAGTGTATTTAAAGCTTCGGCTGGGATGTGGCATATGGTACTTTTGCCCACATTTAATTAGACAAGACTGGTTACGTAGTGAAGACAGTTATTGAGATAGAGGAACAAATTCTGTTGTCTACATGCCGAAGAAGAGGGTAAGAATAATAGTGAAGGAGTTAGTGTCGGAGGCTGGAAAAGTTGACAACCTGTTTAATTATGTATAGTGTTCACATATTAGTAAAACTTTTTCCTTCAGTAACAGAAAATATCCGTAAGTACTTCTGGCTTTGGTGTGTTCTGCTTGAGTCAGTTCTTTCCAGATTAGCCCTAGTCTGTATGTCTTCATATTCAAGGATGCAGGTTAGCAAGGTGTCTGTTTCTGGGCATATTAAGCACAAAGCAGAAACAAGATGTTAAAGAGACTGTACTGATCCCTCCAAGCATATTTCACTCTGTTAAGATGTGGCATGCAGTTAAGCCTGACAGTATGTAAAGACATGGGAGGCATGATAATGTATAAGTGACCAGATAATAGGGATTAGTATTTATTGTAGTTAATGGACTCTAATAGTAATGTCACGTGTAAGGGTTAACTCATGGGAGTTTTAGATTTTTTTTTTTTCCAAATTAGTTTTTTGAGACTCTTTTGTCCTATAACCATAACCAAGGCTGACCCTGGACTCAAGACTCTCCTACTCAACCTCCTGAGTCCTGAGAATAAAGTTGTACACCACCATGCCTAGCTTTTTCTTTTTCTTTTTCTTTTTTTTTTTTGTTTTTGTTTTTCGAGACAGGGTTTCTCTGTGCAGTTTTGCGCCTTTGCTGGAACTCACTTGGTAGACCAGGCTGGCCTCGAACTCACAGAGATCTGCCTGCCTCTGCCTCCCGAGTGCTGGGACTAAAGGTGTGTGCCACCACCGCCCGAATTGAAACTATTCTCATTACTCACTTTCAGTAAATACATTATTTATTATTGGAATAGTTGTGATAGAACCAGAACACTTAAAATAGATAAGAAGAAAACAAAATCATTTATGATCTAAGTGTCCAGGTTATCTTTGTTAAATTTATAAATTAAAGTTTGTTAATTTATATATTTAAAAACTTATAATGTAATGTGTGCTGTAGAAAAACCAAACAAACATATTTATAGATAGAAAATCTGTGATTTATTGGCTTAAAGTACATGTTGTACAAGTGTGAGGATAGGAGTTTGGATTCCAAAACCTACATGAAAGCCACATCCAGTATTGTGCATTCCTGTAATCCTAGCACTCCTATGGCAGGATGGGAGGTTGAGGTAGGAGTCGACCTGGAAGCTCATGGCTAGTTAGAAAGTGAAGACTGATGCCTGAGTTTATCCTCTGCCCTCCACACATACAGTGTAGTGTGTGTATAGCTACACTCAGAGATCCATATTGATAAGATAGCTTTATTTATATAAATGTGATACTATCTTATTTGGGTTAGTTTTTACTGCAATGATTTTCAGTGAAAATAATTAATTCTATTACTATGACATTGGCAGCTGATTTTTTTTGTTTTTGTTCATTTTGTTCTTAGCGGGTGTCCGAATGATCTACCCAGCATGCTTTGTTCTAGTCCCCCAGTCAGACATTCCTACTCCTAGCTCTGTGGGATCCTCTCATTGTTCAGCTTCTTGCTTGGGTATCCATCAAGTGCCTGCTTCCACAAGAGATCCTGCTATGTCTTCAGTTACTCTTACCCCACCCACATCTCCTGAGGAAGTCCAAGCAGGTATTGAACTAACTGCTTCATCAGCTCTGGTTACAAAGCTGTTCATTTGAGTACATCAGTACTTAGTTTTTATCTTGAAATTGTTTAAAACTTATTAGAAAATTGCAAGTATAATGCAAAGAACACATTCATCTAAGTTCACACTTAAAACATTTGCTTTTACATCCCCTGTGTATGTATACATTGATTATAAATTGGTCTTTTTCTGATTCTCTTGTAAAAGCTGTAGACTTGATATATTATTCCTACATATTCATTGCACTTTCAAAATTAAGACCACTTATAAGACATATATAATGTGTGAATGTGTGCGCATATACATGCACACACATGTGTATATGTGATTGCTTGTGGTGCTAGGAATTGAACCCAGGACCTTCATAATAAGCTGGTATTCTGCTGAGCTGAACCTGTAACCTCTTGTTTTGAATCCTTCAAATCGTGAAGTCAACATTGGTGTACTACCATCCAATTTATATCCCCTATCCAAAATTTTTGCTCTCTGCATTTAAATAATTTGTTTTTTTTACTAAACTTACCAAATAGAGCAAAGAGCAAATAATACAACAAATTAATAAAAACTCCCACTTGTTACTTTCAATCTGTTTTACCTTTCTATAGCCTCTTCTTTTTTGTTTGTTTCCAGTTGATCCTCAGTCTGCCCAGAAGTGGGTCAAATTTTCTTCAGTCTCCAGTGGCTTCAGCACTGACAGCACTAGCCATCATGGTGGGAAAATACCCAGGAAATTAGCAAGTCACGTGGTAGATAGAGTCTGGCAAGAGTGCACCATGAACAGATTACAGAACAAGTATGTATCTGTATTTTATGTGATCATTTAGTTCTTTCTGTGTGCTGGGTCTCACTATGTAGCCTTGGCTGGCCTGGATTTGGTTTGTAGACCAGGCTGGCCTCAAACTCAGAGCTCTCAGCTGCCAAGTACTGAGATTAAAGGCATGTGCCACCCTGTCCAGTTGTATCTTTTATTTTGATATTTAAAACTTGCATGTTGGTTAAGTATGAGTATGGAATAAAAACTGAGAAAAATTAATTTTAAGTAATTAAATATTAGAGCTGGGTGGTGGTGGCAGACACCTTTAATCCCAGCACTTGGGAGGCAGAGGCACGTGGATCTCTGTGAGTTTGAGGCCAGCTTGGTCTACAGAGTGAGTTCCAGAACAGGCTCCAAAAAGCTACACAGAGAAACCTTGTCTCCAAAAAACAAAACAAAACAAACAAAAACCAAACAAAAAATAAAAGATTAAATTCTAATAGAAATTTTATGTATTCTAAGGAATTTATAATTTTATAATTCAGGAGGAAGTATTCTGCTACATCCAGTGGCCTATGTGAAGAAGAGTCAGCTGATAAAATAGCATGCTGGGACTTTGTTGAAGCCACACAGAGAACAAGCTGCAGTTGTTTGAGGTAAGTGTATTTCCAGTTGGGATATGTATATATTATAGTTACGATGCTAATACTTTGTTTGGGGTATCTTATACAAATATGGTATGTTAGGATCCCCCCCCCCCAAAAAAAAGAAATGTGAGAAAGATAGCTGGCATTTTTCCCTCCTTTATTTTATGTGCATTGGTGTGAAAGTGTCAGATCCCCTTGAACTGGAGTTACAAACAGTTGTGAGCTGCTATGTGGGTGCTGGGAATTGAACCTGGGTCCTCTGGAAGAGCAGCTAGTGCAGTGCTCTTAAGCACTGAGCCATCTCTCCAGCCCTACTAGTTGGCAATTTAAAGTTGATTATGGAAAGAAGTACAACTGGAAAGGCTTTTCCTAATAGCCAAATAAATAAATTTTTTTGTAGTGTGTTAGGGTATAATAGAGCAACTATAAGGACACCTTTGGTGGTGGTTGTTTTGAGGCTCTCTAGCTGTGCTGCCCAGGCTGGTTTTGAACTTGATTGTCTTGCCTCAGCATTCCAAGCGCTCGGATTACAGTCATACATTCACCATACTTGACTCACACATCTCTGGAGGAACACATTCCTTAATTATATTATGCCTGAGAAATTTTCCCAGGTGTGTTTATAGCAGAGATGATTTTCATAATTTTTAAAAGAGTAAATACAGTGTGGAGTTTTGTGTAGCAAGTTCTTATCCTTGGGCAACTGTTGGTGAGTTACTGAAATAAGATCATGAAGTAATGATTTTACAGGAGGTATGACCAAAATATCAGCTTTCTAGTGAGCTGTATTATTCAAAGATTTGTAGCAGAATGGATTAGCTTGGAATTTGTTGGGCAGTTGCATTTATTCTATATATTGAGGGCTTTTAATGAGATTTGATTGTCAAGCTATAGGACTCTTTTGTCAGGTTTATTATTTTCTGCAGATTAAAGGTAGTTTATATGCTTTCTTTCTTTTTTTATTTTTTTGGGGTTTTTTTGAGACAGGGTTTCTCTGTGTAGTTTTGGTGCCTGTCCTGGAACATACTCCTACCAGGCTGGCCTTGAACTCACAGAGATCCGCTTGGCTCCGCCTCCCGAGTACTGGGATTAAAGGTGTGCTCTGCTGCTGCCGCCTGGCGAGAAAGATTTTTTGTTTTGTTTTTGTTTTTGTTTTTTGTTTGTTTAAGTTCTATGTCAAGATTTTTATTTGGCAGGACTTTTTGTTTGTTTATAACATGGACTTTTGTTTTAGTCCTCTTGAAGTAATGGGTTTCAATTATTTTATGAAAATTGATTTTAGGGGAAGACACTAAGAAATAGATGCTGCTAACATTTAAATTCTTGACTTTAAGCCAAAAGCTTGCTTTTAGAAAGTTACTTTCTTTCCTATTTTGACAACCTTCCCCCTAGGTCTATAGAGATTTTGATATACTAAATCAGTATATGTGATTTTTTCCATATATTTTTCTGTAGGTTTGGATATATGTCATTTTCTCCTAAAACATAAATATTAATTTGATTTTTTGGCAGCTTTCTTTTTTTGACATCAGATGTTTGTGTATTAGCTATTTGTAAGTCTACCTCATTGCTTGAAAAACTTAATTATTATTAAATATTCCACTGAATGGTAGTACCATGGTTTATTTAGTCATTCTAGATTAGATAGACATAGTTATTTCTGGGACGTTGTGTTTTGTGTTTGTTGTGCTGATGGATTGTTATCTTTTTTTCAATGTTTAGTCTATGACAAGAGCTTTCGTAGACTCAGAATACATGAGTGAGCAAGCCTCTTGCTAAAGCCCAGTCTCTAGGGGAAGTGATGCAGTAATTTGCTTACAAAAAATATTCAGGTCTCTTTAAATTTAAGAGTGAATAAACTAGGTGGGTAATGTGATAGTTGAGCAAAAGGGCTTTTTAAAGTCTTGTGACTTTTAAATGAGTGTCAGTTTTACTCATTTTCATACTCATAAATTTAAGGCATTTATATTTTTACATATTGTTTCCTTGCATTGATAGGAAAATTATCTTCAGAATCATTTATTGTTATGGGGGGATAAAATTGTTTTGATTACATTTTTGTGTTGGTAAGGTGGATTAGTACACTTGTTACCAGGCTGTAGTCTAGTGAAGTGTTTATCTACTTAAGAAAGCAAATTTCAAGCCGGGCGGTGGTGGCGCATGCCTTTAATCCCAGCACTTGGGAGGCAGAGGCAGGCGGATCTCTGTGAGTTCGAGGCCAGCCTGGGCTACCAAGTGAGTTCCAGGAAAGGAGCAAAGCTACACAGAGAAACCCTGTCTTCAAAAGAAAAAGAAAAAGAAAAAGAAAAAAAAAAGAAAGCAAATTTCAGATTTTAACTCCAAGGGAGGGATTCCAGGCTAATAGGAAAAACTCTTAAGAGATCACTTTGTTATACCTTGAGGTTGACAGGTCCTCTGGAAGATTCACCCATTTGGTTTAGTATGAAATTAATGGTAGAACAATTCTCTCTAAAGAAGTCTAACTTTTGGAAAGATCTGTGTAGAATAACAGGATGAGGATTTAATGTCAACAATGTAAATTGCTATTACTAGTAATATATTTAAGCCGTAATTAATAGTTTTCTTATTCATATAACCAAGTAAATATATATGGCTGTTTACTATTCCCATTCCTTATACCTAAAGTACAACCATGTATTTCATTTCCTCAGTGATATCTTGCCCTTATTATTGCCTTGTAAGAAGTCGACTCCCAAAATTTGGTCAGAACTCACTTATACTTTTTTTTTTCCTTCTGGGTTTTCTTTTTCTTTTTTTTTAAAGATTTATTTATTTATTTATTATACAGTGTAATGTCTGCATGTATCCTTGCAGGCCAGAAGAGGGCACCAGATCTCATTACAGATGGTTGTGAGCCACCATGTGGTTGCTGGGAATTGAACTCAGATCCTCTGGAAGAACAGCCAGTGTTCTTAACTGCTGAGCCATCTCCAGCCCTCCTCCTGGTTTTTCGAAACAGGATTTCTCTGTAGCTTTGGAGCCTGGTACTCACTGTGTAGATCAGGCTGGCCTTGAATTCATAGAAATCCACTGGCCTCTGTCTCTTGAGTGCTGGGACTAAAGGTGTGCGCCACCACCGCCCAGGTTGTAGACATTATTTTCTAAAAGAAAATTTTTAGGTACTATTTTGATTGAAGTTTTTCTTTTTTGGGGGTTGAAAGCTGTTAAGACAGGGTCTCTATATGTAGTCCTGGCTGTCCTGGAACTCACTTTGCACATCAGGCTGGCCTTGAATTCATAGAAATCCTCCTGCCTCTACCTCCCAAGTCTGGGATTAAAGGTGTGTGTCACTGTGCCCTACCCCAGGTGCTAGTTTCTTCAAAGTCAGTTGTAGTGGGAAAGTTAAAGCCACATTAATAAAACTCATTCCACTAATGATAGGAATGATGCTTTACTTAATACGATTTTTAAAACATCAAGTATTGTTTATTTGGAAAACAGTAGTTTACTGAGTTATGCAAATTTGAATGTTGGCACGTTTTGTTAAATATATTAAAATGCATTTATATCACCAGTGGTCTAATACAGCTTTTCAAAATTTTAAATCTTACTCAAAAGCTCACTTTTATCAGTTATTCTTCATTAAAATGGCAGACTCATTGTGTTTTCAAGAACCTTAATAAGCAATTCTATCAAATAATAAAAAAATAGATAATTATTGTTTATTAGTCATTTTCTTTTTTTCCCCCATGTGACAAGATTTTGCTGTCTAGCCACAGGTTAGTCTAGATCTCATGAAGCCTGTGGCTAGCCTTCGTTCATGATTATTGTGCCTTAGTCTTGCAAGTTCTGAATTGTGGTATGCAGTGCCACATTCAACTCTGATTTGTTTTTCAAATAAAAATGATATTCCATGAAAAAAAAATGGCTTACTTAGCTTTAACCTCAAGCAATGATACAAGTAATTTTCCTCAAAGCAGCCGTTGGCCATAATTGTGTAGCAGACAGGCTGCATATGGACCTGTTTCTTCATACAGACTATAGAAAGCAGGGCAAATACATACAGGTGTTGAAGTTTGATAAAATATTGAGAGTTTTACTGTTTTTAGTGACAAAAACCCAATAACACTGTGTTAAAAGTAATACTTCCAAAGTAAAACTGGCTTTAAGCGTGTTCTGAGTGGAGAGAGTGCTTATTAGTATGCTGGTTTCAAGTCTCTGCACAACAGAAAACTCAGAAAAAGACAAGCCCGAATCCTTGTATACCTGCTAGTGAAGAAAACAGCTATCCTAGTTGGTACTCTTGCCAAGGGCTTTACCAAAGTCTGTTGTTTTTGCTCCATTGCCATGTCAACGTAATGGAAAGGGCAGATAATGTGCTGTTAGGAAAACAGTTTTAAGTGGGTGTGATGACACACATCTGTAGTCCAGCAGTTGGCAGCCTGAGGCAGGAGAGCCTGTCTCAAAAAAGTCTTTTAAAAAGTTTTAACCCCCTTGGAGGCTGGAGAGATGGCTCAGAGGTTAAGAGCACTGGCTGCTGTTCTAGAGGTCCTGAGTTCAATTTCCAACAACCACATGGTGGCTCACAACCATCTGTAATAAGATCTGGTGCCTTCTTCTGGTGCAGGCAGAACACTGTATACATAATAAATAAGTAAATAAATCTTTAAAAAATATTTTAACCCCCTCAACAGGCAAGTATGTAACTGATAACTGAATGATAGTCATTATTTTTATTATTGTTTCCTTTGGTTTTTCCTGTGTTACTGTTAAGTATCTTCCTTGGTTAGGTTGCCTTAAAAGTTTGGCATTCTATTTTTATTCTTGAGTCCTGAGCTAGAGTAGTATGTGCTGTTAATCTCTGAGCCCTTTGTCCAGCATCTAGGTCAGGTTCTTAAGAGTCACATACGGGACATTTTTATCATTGTAGTAGAAACTTATTTTAGAGCTTTGATTAGATTCAGCATTTTCAGCAAGAGTACTTCATAGATAATTGCTTTGTAATATGTCACAGCAGAAGAGATACAGGGTCTGGTTACCCTTCTAAGAATGTTTAAGTTTAGTCAGTTGTAGTGGCCCATGCCTTTAATCCCAACACTCAGAAGGTAGAGGCTTGTCTGCTCATAGACAGTTTTAGGACAGCCAGGACTGCGAAGAGAGACCCCTACCTCCCTCCTAAAAAGGTTGTCTACAAGTTGATACTTTGACCTTTGCACTGATGGTTCTAACTATAAATTACAAATAAAGATAGTGTTTCTTCTTTTGAGACTTTGATTTCCTTTCTTGCCTTGTACTGGATACATTTTTAGTTAAGTATTAAGTAATAATATTTAGAGTTAGCACTATTCCTTTGTTTTCTCACTTACTCTTATTAATGTAATGAATACTGCTGATTTATTATTATTATTATTTTTATCTAATGTCATACCTTAAATTTTTTAGCTATAATAAACTCCATTTGGTTGTAATTATTGTTTTAAACTTTGCTGGGTTGAATTGTTGCTAATTGTTAATTATTTGCTTCTGTTAGTGATGTACACTTGTGTTCTTGAAGAATATTGGTGTACGATTTCATACAGTGTTTTTGATTCTGGTATTTGGGTAGTGGGGATTTGGTTTCTTTTTATCCTTTAGTTATAGGTCATGTTTTCTTTGATAACATCCCCTAAGATGTCCCAGACTCTGTAGGAATGAATGTTTCAGAATGTTCCTTTATCAGAAATGTCTTTGAAAAAAAAAATGCTTGCCATCTTCTTAGAATTTTGAGTTGTTACATTTGTGTGTTGGAGGTGGCATGCACATGCAGCAGTGAGCATGTGGAGCACAAGACAGCATGTTGACTCTTCCCTTCCAGTGTGTGGATCTCCAGGGTTGACCAGGTAGTCAGGCTGTCGTCTCACAGAGGCCTGTGCTACTGTTCCTGTGTTCTTTCCGGGTAGCTCCCCCGAATGAAAACTTAATGAATATTGTATTTAAAATTCCATACTCAATTGCCTTGTGAGATTCACCCTTCCTTCCTTCCTTCCTTCCTTCCTTCCTTCCTTCCTTCCTTCCTTCCTCCCTCCCTCCCTCCCTCCCTCCCTCTCTCTCTCTCTCTTTCTTTCTGTCTCTCTCGATCTCGCGCTCTCACTTTCGCTCTCTCTTGCTGTCTCTCTCTCTCTCTTTGGTTTGTTTTTTGTTTTTTTGAGACAGGGTTTCTCTGTGTAGTTTTGGTGCCAAGATAATTTCTTAGTGTGAAAAGAAACAAACAAACAAAATACAGTGTGTATGTCAAGTATCATGAATTTGGAAGCCTCATTTTGAAAGATCTTAGACCCAACAAAATTACTTGATTTTCAGGAATAGTTTAAGTCCAAGACTTAAAATTTTTAAAAAAATGTATTTTATGTGCCTGAATGTTTTGCCTGCATATATGTATGTGTACCATATGTGTGCCTGGTTCTGGTGGAGATCAGGAAAAGGCAGTAGATTCTTTGGAACTGGAGTTAATCTGGTTGGGAGCTACCACATTGGTGTTGTGAATTGAACCTGAGTCCACTGCAGTTCAGTTGAGAACTGATTCATGGATAAAGAAAAGGCTGTTTTAAGCATTTCTTTTCCTTTTATAGTCAAGTGATTCCTTCTGTGGTCAAATTTTGAGAGAACATAGAAAGGCCCATCTGTCAGTCAATTCTAGCACTTTTCTAGTCTAATCAGTTACTGCTGTATTATAGTTAATGACTATTAAGCCATTCTTAATAGTTACTAACTCTGAAATACCAGGTATATTTACAAATGAAGAAGTTTCAATTTTCTTTATATTTTTTTTATCTTAGATGTTTGTGTTTATTGAGGTGCTAAGATAGTAAGATGATATAGGCTAATCATTAGCTATTTGATCACAGTGCTATTTAGTGAGTATAAGTGAGTTGACTTAAAATTTTTTTAGAAGATGTATTTTATGTACATGAGTGATTTGCCTGCATGTATGTATGTGTCCCATATATGTGCCTGGTGCCAGTGGAGGCCAGAAAAAGGCACTGGATTTCTTGGACTTGGAGTTAAATATGGTTGTGAGCCACCATGTGGGTGCTGTGAATTGAACACGAGTCCTCTGCAAAGAGTCCGTGCTCTTAACCACTGTGTCATCTCTCTAGTCCTCCAAATTGGGTTTTATGAATTGTTCTGTATGCTTTTATGTTTAAGATCACTGAACAAGTGTCTTAAATTCAAATCATCCTAACTTTAGAGTTGTATATGAAAAACATGCTCCCAAGAGACTCAAAGTCTTATTTTACATAGTATGTGTAATAGTTATACTTTAAAATGAATAACTGAACTTATTTTTTAACTTTTCAGGCATAAAAGTCTCAAAACAAGAAATACTGGGCAACAAGGACAGGCACCATCTTTAGGGCAGCAGCAACAAGTACTTCCTAAGCACAAGACCAATGAGAAGCAAGAAAAGAGTGAAAAGCCACAAAAACGCCCCTTGACTCCTTTTCACCATCGGGTATCCATTAGTGATGCTATTGGCATGGACACAGACTCAGCCAGCCAAAGACTTGTGGTCTCTGCTGCAGATAGTCAAGTGAGATTCTCCAACATCCGTACTAATGACATGGCAAAGACCCCACAGATGCACGGGACTGAACTGGCAACTTCACCTCAGCCTCCCCCACTTAGTCCTCATCCGTGTGATGTGGTTGATGAAGGAGTGACTAAAACACCTTCAACTCCCCAGAGTCAACATTTTTATCAAATGCCAACACCGGATCCCTTGGTTCCTACCAAACCAATGGAAGATAGGATAGACAGTTTGTCCCAATCTTTCCCACCTCCATTTCAGGAAGCTGTAGAACCTACCGTGTATGTTGGTACAGCAGTAAACTTGGAAGAAGATGAAGCTAATAGAGCCTGGAAGTATTACAAAGTCCCAAAGAAAAAAGATGTAGAATTTTTACCACCTCAACTTCCAAATGATAAATTCAAGGATGATCCAGTTGGACCTTTTGGACAGGAAAGTGTAACATCAGTTACAGAGTATGTATTTTTTTTAATAGTCACTACTATAAGTTAAGAATAAAAGATGATGTAACTTCTTAATGCTAGAACTCCAGGGTTTTAAAGGGTAGAAATTATAAAAATAGATATTCCAAGTATTAAATTTGAATAATTTCTTTAGCATGTTTATCTCTGAAGGAAGCTCTCTGTTATGAAACCATTTGGCCACAAACATCTGGAGAAAATAATATGTAAAAGCTTTAGTGTCTGTCACCCAACTGAAGGATTTTGCCTGTGACTAGTGTCATCTGCTCTCCTGTTACTCCTCTTGTCCTGAGTTTGGCACTTGTTTCTCCACATGCCTTACGCTTTAGTTAATTTAACCATTGCTTTGTGATCTTGCGTTACTTGTAGATATGCTGTAGTTGTCTACCCTCTTTTAGACAGACATCATATTGTCTGTTTTTCAGAGCAACAGAGTAGGTAGCAGTGAATGAGGGAGGTGGGTACATATTCCTTGTATATGAATTTCTTTAGGAAACACATCTGAAGAGGAATTGCCAGACCATCAGATATGTCCATTTTCAGTGAAAGGGTTAGAGCCAGGTTGCTCCTCAAACCACTAGCTTACAATGTATACCATCAGGAGCCAGGAGATCATGAAAATACTGTGGATTTTCATTTTCATCAATCCTTGGCATTATAAGACTATTTTGACTGCATGAAGAATGGCAAGGCTTTATCTTAATGCATGTTTGTAGATTTCTAGTGAAGATTAAACATCATTTAAAATGTTCATCGTCTCTGAATTACCTGTCTAAATTTTAAGGGTCCCTTCTCCATTTTTATTTATTCTTTCCATATTTTTGGTACTAATCCTGTACTATTAAATGCACTGTAGATATCTTTCTACATCTAGTTTGCCATCTTTGTTCACTAATATGGCATTTCTTTGGACAGAATATAGCTGGCTTTCTTTTGGGTCTTTCTTTACTTTCTGTATTGCTTGGAATATGTTCTTATCCTATCCAACAATTTTAATATGTAAATTTTTAGTGGTATAAATCACCCAGCAAAACACCATTATATTCCTTTTTTAAATGTATCTTTCTGTATATAGATGTTTTGCTTGAATGTATGTCTGTGCACCATGTGTGTGCCTGAATAACTCAGAATCCAGAAGAGGGTATTCAGTCCCCAGGACTAGAGTTGTAGACAGTTGTGAACTGCCGTGTGGGTGCTGGGAATTGAGCCCTGGTCCTCCGGAAGAGCAGCCAGTGTTCTTAACCATTGGCTATCTCCTTAGCCCCTATTATATTCTTAAGGTTACATAATGTATTCGATTTTATTAGTTGCCTAAGATTGCACACATCATTCTTTTTTCTTTTTGTTTTACCTTTAGTGCTGGACATCAAATCCAGTGTTGTGTGAATGCTAGGCAAGCAGTCTGTCACTGAGCAATAGCTCCAGTCCTTGGTGATTTTTTTAGTTGTTTGTTTTGCTTTATATGCATGGAGCATTTTAGCTTATAACACATGCATTCCCAATGCCCTTAGAAGCCATTCTAAGGATCATAAGATTGTGAATCTCCATGTGGATACTGGCAATTGAACACAGTTCCTCTGTAACAGTGGCAGGGGTTCCGGGGGATGGGGAGCGATACTTGGAACCATCTTCATGCTTGAGAGAGGATGCTCTGTTTCTTCCTCATGGTCTCCTGTGCTCTACACAGTTGAGTAAAATTCTTTTGTAATGAACTATAGAAATCTACACAGTTGGAGAAACTTCTTTAGTAACTATAGAAGTGATGCCTGGAAGTATAGTCTTTTAAGAAAGTTAAATACAAAGTAATAGGTTTCATCATACCATCCCCTCGCCTGCCCCCCAGACAGGCTTTCCTGACATAGAGCTTTGTGCTCTCCTGGAACTCACTTTATAGCCCAGGCTGTCCTTGAACTCACAGAGATCTGCCTGCCTCTGCCTCCCGAGTACTGGCATTAAAGGTGTGCGCCACCACTGCCTGGCTCATTATGCCATCTTCATATAAATATGTCATTATATTTTGTTGTTTATTCCACTCCCCACTGTCTTTATTTGTGCCCTCTACATCCTGTGACTGATTCTCTTTCTTTGGATAGTATCCTGTTTTTGTTTTTATTTTTGAAATAGGGTTTTTCTGTGTTACCCTGACTGTCCTAGAACTCTGTAGACCAAGATGGCCCTGAACTCAGAGATCTGCCTGCCTCTGCCTCCCAATTGCTGAGGTTAAAGATATGTGCCACCATGCCCAACTATGTACCATACTTTATCCATTGATGGACATGTAAGTTGGTATCATTTGTTGGCTGTTGTGTAGGAGTGATCCTGCTATAAGCACACTTGGGCAAGTTATCTTTGGATCATATGGTAGCTTTATTTTTAGGGTGATTTCTTTTTTTTTTTTTTGAGGAACCTCTGTACTGTTGTCCATCATAGTTGTGAAGAAGCCTCCATTTCCTCATATGCCAGCATTTTTACCTTTTTTTGGGGGGAGGGGGGTAACCATTCTGACTAGGGTGAGATAGAGCCTCATACTTACATTTCCTCTATTGCTGAGGAAAGTTCACCCTATCTTCTGTTAGCTTTCTGATTTAACCACATCTTCCTTAAGAAAAAAAAAAAAGCCAGGCTCATGCCTCATGGTCATTCAGATTGTATTAGAGGGAGTAGAGGATCATTTATTCCTTATCATTTGGTGTTGCTTGAAAGTTGTAGTGAGTTTTTCTGATTATTCTGTCCAAGTTATGGTCTGTTTTCTCTCTTCTAAACTACTGCCTCTCCTAAATACTGTTTTTTTAAATTTGTTGCTAATATATTTATCCCCACATCTGCGATTGTGTATATTCATGGAGTCTTTTCTCTGTTAGAATGTAAGCTCTACAAGGGCAAGGACTCTTGGTGACTGCTGTGCTTCTCTTAACCCAAACATAGGGTGTGCAGGTAGATGCACACCTAGAGCAATCCTGTGCGCATGGTAGAATGCACAGATGTTTGCAGGAATCAAATGACAGTGTGGCTAGACTACTTTCCTGTTTTCTTCCCAGGTTGGATTTTCTTACTTATTGTAGAAATGTGGTGATAGGAATATTTTTACATTAGAAAATTATAGGAATGAGTTTATATATTTTATTTATTTATTTATTTATTTTTTGTTTGGTTTTTCGAGACAGGGTTTCTCTATGTAGTTTTGGTACCTGTCCTGGATCTCACTATGTAGATCAGGCTGGCCTCAAACTCACAGAGAGATCTGTCTGCCTCTAGAGTGCTGGAATTAAAGGCGTGCACCACTACCGCCCAGCAGGAATGAGTTTTTGTGGGTACATTATATTCATAAGATCTAAGAATACTAGCCATACCTTTAAACACATGTATTGACTGCTTAAGCTTATAACATTTAACCTCAGAATCTGTTATAAAATTACTTGACAGTTTTCTCATTGAATACGAATGAGAAGAAGAAGCATACTGTAGTTGAACAGCATGCAGAGCAGAATGGTGCTGGGTCGTGATTACATAAGTTACAGACTAACACGTTTCCACTTCTACCTATTTCTCACCCCCACCCCACCCCTTTGCCCCTTAGTCCTAGAAAAGGGGGAAAAACTTGAATAAAAGGTTTACTGTTGGTTTTATTTAAACAAATTTCAATTTTTATTTTGTGGAATTATGTCATCTTTTTTGTTGTTACACCAGATTGTAAACTTTCCATTCCCCTTCAGTTCTAAGCCTTGTTTTTATAGCATAATGATAGAGATATCACCTAAGGCTCACTAAAGTTTTGTTTCTATGTTAACTCAATCATTTATGGAATATAATAGTTCTGCATTTGATAGGTTAGAAATAAGAGCATGAGATTAATGTTTGTTGCCTGTAGTTCTCTCCTTTTACCTGGAATTACTGGAATCGCAGTAATTATGACTGCAATAGCAGTAATTCTGCTCCAGCCTCAGGTGACATTTGCCAATGTCCACTTCCAGTTGTTACAGCTAAAGGTGTGTTTCTGACATCTGGTAGGCAGAGACCAGAGATGCTGCTAAGAGGCTTTTAAGTGTACATGGTAGTATCCCACAACAAAAACATAATACAGCACAAAGTGTTATGTTGCTTTAATGTGCCTTAAAAATTCTTTATTATAAAAAAAAACCTTGCAATGAAATAGAAACATCACATACCAAAATTAATCAGGCTTAAAATCTGTCCAACTTAATGGACTTATATACAGTTAGAATTTTCATAAAATATTTAATAATGTGGCTTTTAACAGAAATTTGACCTCTAAAACTGTTATTAAATTAAATGGGCCAAATGTATTTAATTATTTGTTTAGAATTGTGAATATCTGGCTCAGTCACTGGTGTTGCTCTGAAACGTAAGTCTTGGTTAGAAGGACTTGGTAATTCAGTGTCTGCTATTAATACTGTTCAGAAGAGCATTATCTCTTTGTAGAAAGTGCTAAAACTAGTTAGGGGCAGATGGTATCCCTTATTGAAATAAGTTTATGATTCACTATTAGGTTTTTTTTGATGGCATCTCAGCAACCTCCCTTTTTTTTTTTTTTTTGGATGGGGGTGGTGTTGAGATAGAACCTCTACTATGTAACTCTGGCTGGCCTAGAACTCACAATGTAGACCTGGTTTGCCTTGAATTCACAGAGATCTGCCTGCCCCGGCCTCTGAGAATGCTGGGATTAAAGGCTTGGGCCATCATGCCTGGCCCTTTAACAGTGTCTTTCTGTAGGAACATAGAAATTCTTTTTTGCTTGTTTGTTTGCTGATAATAGAAAGCCAGGGTCTGTGGCTATGTGCACACCTCTAACCCCATCGTTTTCAGAGGTGGAGACAGGAGGATTGCTGGGGCCTGCTGGCTACCAGCCTAGCTCCAGGTTTAGTGAGAGACTCTGTCTCAAGGCAATAAGGTGGAGAGTGATAAAGCAGACACCTGACTTCCTCACATCTCACATGATCTTGCCAGCCTTTTCCCCCTTTCCATTTTTGGTTGTT